TGCTTCAGAGCTATACTACAGGGAAGGATTTTTCTATTTCAGATTTACTCTTAAGTAATTTATTTTCCCATTATCATGGGCAAGGAGAAAATTAAGATTCTAGTAGGTCAAAAAGTTCTTCTGTATAAATAGAGGTACTGTTAATTATCTGTTTGGTAAAAGAACACTGGCAGACTTCACTGGGTTCAATCATTTTTCCTTTTAAATTTTGAAGTAGTTTTACTTTCTGTTGCCTCAGGCTCTGAGTTCCTTGGATGAAGACGATCCCAATATACTTCTTGCAATACAGTTATCTCTGCAAGAATCTGGGCTGGCCATCGATGAAGAAAGTACAGACTTTCTCAGTAACGAAGCGTCCTTAGGAGCAATAGGTACCTCTTTACCTTCCAGACTGGACTCCGTCCCCAGGAACACAGATAGCCCTCGAGCCGCGTTGAGCAGCTCTGAGCTGTTGGAACTTGGTGACAGCCTCATGAGACTAGGAGCAGAAAGAGACCCATTTTCAACTGACACCCTGAGTTCCCACCCTCCCAGTGAGGCGAGAAGTGAATTCTTCGCCTCATCCAGTGACCCTGACTCAGCCAGCCAGGACGCCAACATCAATGACAATCTTCTTGGCAATATCATGGCTTGGTTTCATGACATGAACCCTCAAAGTATTGCTCTGATTCCTCCAGCAGCTACAGAAATCAGTGCAGATTCTCAGCTCCCCTGTGTCAAAGATGAGTCAGGATGTGTGAGGGATGTGGAACTGATACCTCCAGAAGATTCAGTGTTTGAAGATGCTGCGATCAGTGAAGGGAGAGGAATCCAAAGAGAAGAAAATCCTTTGGAGGCAAATATTCTGGCTGGGGAAGCAGCATCTCGAGCTGGCGACAGTGGTAATGAGGCTGCCAGCAAGGGGGATGATTCCGATGTTTCAAGTCAGACACCTCAGACCTCAAGTGACTGGCCTGAACAAGTACACTTAGTATGAACTGCACATCTCGGGGCTCTAGTGAATTGCAGGTACAGATGGTATGCTAGAGGAGTATGCTTTATAGAGACTTGATCCACTTAATTTCAACTAATTATAAACCACTGACATTAGGATTAAATATGAAGGAGTTCCCTTGAATGGTATAGCTTCATTTCTGATTTTAACCTGACAGGGAATTTCTTCTGTATTTAATTGGATAGCTTTTCCCCTTTATGCTGACAAGCAGAAGAGCAGGAGAGAGCAGCACAAATGGAATAAATAACTTAGATTCCACATTTGAAGAAAGTGCAGTCCTCTGTTTAGGTCAGCAGTACTTAAATTGAACATTAAATGAAAGGCTTACTCTCTAATCCTTGGGTGGTTTTTCCTTTAAAAAAGAAAAAACTGAAAGTTTTCTTCATTTCAGAAGTTATTTTGGACAGATCTAGTAACATTTCATTCCTCCATCTCTCTGTGCTCTTCCGTAACTTTCCTTCTGCCTTCTTGTCTGAGCGGTGTGAATTGAGGTCGCCAGGGCTTCTTTAACGCTGCATCTACCACAGTGTAATTAATTTTAATTTCACATGAATCAGAGATCTCTTTTCATGTCTATTTACAGTCCACTTGTGCCAAACTGACTCGTGCGCTAACAAGGCGTTCAGGTGTGCAGTGTCCCGGAGGGCTTCCAAGCAGTCTCAGCCTTCCTGGAAGTAAAAGGTGCCACTTGGTAGCAGTGATGTTCCAGAATTTAATGGGCTTTTGTTGCCATGGAGACTGCATTTAAATAAATGTAGCCTGTAGCTTAAGTTAACTAAATCTAATGCTGCTGTTCAAAACAGTTTATTTTAATATTAAAATACAGTTGATTAGCAACAGCGGTGCTGTATTTTAAGAGACACTTTATTGGAAGTGCAATCATAGTTCTTTGTTTTCACAATTTTACAGTGCATTCTAATTACTAATGGGTGCAATTACTTTTAATGGTAAGTGTTTTATAAAATAGAAAAAAAAAAGTGGAGTTTTCATGAGTTATAGTAAATCCCACAATTATTTAAAAAAAAAGAAACTCAGTACAGCATCCTGCGCAACATGTTACCGTGCCTTTGCCTCACCTCAGTGGGTAGTTGCCAGTCAAATAAGTAATTCCAACTTCAATGTCTCTTCTGAAGTAACTATGCTGTATGAATTGCAAAGACCTCCATAAAACCACCCATGGCCTTGCCTTTACAGTAAATATAACAACTAAATGTTCAATCGGTTTGTTTGACTAAATCGCAAATGCTGACGTGTTTGTTCTATTGCACAATACTCATTTGCTGTGTGATTACTGTTTAGTGTTGAAAAAAATCAACTTCCTAGTTATCAGTGTCTTACTGTGAAGAAAATGCTGGTCTTAGTTGTAATTAAGATACAATGGTACAGTGTGTAATTAAAACTAGAATAAACTGTTGGAATGGCTGTTTTACTTACCTATTATGAAAACTAGGATAACATAAGCAAAATAGATATGCAACACTCTATTTAATGTTTTGCCAGATTCTTATCAGAAATCTACAGTTACCAAAATTCTAGTACCAAGTTTGTACAGGCAAGTCCTGGGCTGGGTGAAAGGTTTATGTTAGTATTAATATCCACATGAGCTGTAATTAACGATTTTTGATTACTTTTTGTTCCCAAACCCTGCTTTTGAAATTTCCTTGTACTTCAAATCGTATGGCTCAGACATTATATTAGAGTATTTAATATTCCCCTATTCCATTAATATTCCCCTGTTCCCTTAGGATAAACTGTGCCATGGATATCGGAAGTCCACATTGGTTTTTATTTCCCCAGCTATCAGAAACATTGATTGATATCAATCCCTATTAAAATTAGTTGGGGAAAGTACTACCTTTATCTACAGTGTATTACTGTATATGAAACTGAAATAGTCCATTAAAGGATTTTTTTTACAAATTTATTTTAGATTGAAATATCAACACCAGTCAGTTTTTAGATCAAGCTGTAGTTTTTCAGTAGGAGGAGTCTGTGTCGCACTGAGGCGGCTTGAGAGCCGCGGTGCAGTGAGGAAGAGCGCCGTGTGCCACAGTGTAGTCAGGGCTTCTGGGTCCATGCTTTTGTGCAGTTCCCTGTGTTTCTGTGGTCTCTCCTGAGCATGAAAACCATCAGTATCCAACTTGTATTTCCTTGGTACATATTTTAAAAACACAGTCACTGACTTTACGATTCAGAAATAAAGTTTGGCAAAGCCTATTTTGTAAACAAGTTAATTTTATAATGTAAGAAAAAATTACTCTAACCTTGACTTGTTATTTGCACTTTCATAGTCTATACTTGATACATTCCCACTTTATATACAATAGGATTCTACAAACGTGTAGATGTTTGGCCAAATGAATGCTGTTAATAATATGTAAAATTCTTTGATTAAACATTTATTACTTAAACTACTTCACTTTTGTCTCATTATAGACTTTGTTTAACCCAGTCAGGAAGCTAATCTTCTTCACATTAAATTCCCTCTAATTGATGGGGTTAATTTGGTTCTTACATGTAATAGATTAATTCCTAATATTTTTTATACTAGCCCACTTACTGAGCATTTTATACCCCAGAGATAAGCCTAAAACTTTGCATGATAATGTGTTAAAACATTGTGACTTCAGCACTCATTATTTTTAATCACTGTAACTTTCAGAAGAAAACTTATGGTTTTTCCTTGAAGTCTCTAATAGAAACATGGAAAAAGAATTTTAAGGTAGTTTGTGAAATTGCCTAGGATAGGAAAATTTTTTTATGCCATATAAATAGAAATGCCTGCTTCTCAATCATTTTATTATTCTTTCCCATCTAAGTAATTACAGCAGCCCCCGGCATCTGATCTTCAGTGCTCAGGCACAAGTCCCAGACCCCCAGCTGACGCGGCATAAGATGTGCCCGTGGTAACATGTGAGAGTCGTTTTACTTGTGCCTATCAGTTTGTGGATCTGAAGCTTAACTCTAGTGTCCGTATGCTGAATTATTCTTTAAATGTTGTTTATTACAGCCATTGATCTCATTTCTGTTCCCTTTTTAGTCCTTGGATCATGTTGCTTAACCGTTAATGACATTAAAATCTGGTGGCTCGGTGGTAAAGAATCCCCATGCCAGTGCAGGAGTAATTTCTTGGGTTCAATTAATGGGTTCGATCCCTGGGTTGGGAAGATCCTCTGGAGGAGGACATGGCAACCCACTCCAGTATTCTTGCCTGGAGAATCCCGTGGACAGAGGAGCCTGGTGGGCTACAGTACAGAGTCACAAAGAGTTGGACTCAACTGAAGTGACATAGCACGCACTGTGGCTTACCTGTTATGAAATTACAGCCTCAGACTTACTGAAATTTGGTCATAATTTTAAAAGTTACAGTTAGTAAATCACTAAAGAGTAAAATTTTAGAATCTAAATATTACATGATAATACAAATTTGGGTTTTTTCCTTTTTAAGGCTGAAATCAAACTCCATAGGAGAAAAGTGTTGATGTGCTTGGCTCTGGGGCTGAGTAGTAGTTGTATCTCAGCCCTGGGCTGTGGTTATAGTTACAAGGTTGTCACCTAGCAACAGTATGTTACTGCCTTGTCAGTCATTATCCCCTTTTCTCCAGTAGATTTCTTTCTGGAAAGACGTATGTGATCTTTCTTCTAGGAACTGGGACTAGTCATGCTTAAAGAAAGATGGACTGGAATAGTTTCCTAAATTTAGCTCTCTGTTGCACTTAGGACTGACAAGTGGCTGACAAACTGCTGCTGCTGCTAAGTCACGTCAGTCGTGTCTGACTCTGTGTGACCCCATAAACAGAAGCCCACCAGGCTCCTCTGTCCCTGGGACTCTCCAGGCAAGAACACTGGAGTGGGTTGCCATTTCCTTCTCCAATACATACATGCATGCTAAGTCGCTTCAGTCGTGTCTGACTCTGTGCGACCCCATGGACAGCAGCCCACCAGGCTCCTCTGTCCACAGGATTCTCTAGGCAAGAATACTGGAGTGGGTTGCCATTTCCTTCTCTTGACCAACTGAGTGGTGGCCAAACTTTTGAAGAAATTATTCAGTCTTTAAAACCATAACATGGAAATATTCCTGATCAGGATATAGATATCATCTCTTAGCCAGCCTAGCCTTCACAAAGCATCAGTTTACAGACAAGCTGGGAGAAAGATTCATGAGGAATAAACAGAATACTGTACAGAAAATGGTAGTTATGGGACGAGACAGTCCAGCTCTCCTGGGCCTCTGAAGTGCCTACACATCTTGCTGAGTGTGCCAAGACTGCAAGGCCTAATTAGGGCTTTGCCTGAGCCACTTCTCAGCATTTATATCACTAGTAAGCTTGGGGACGAGAAGCAGGTTTGCTGTAAAAGTGTTGGATTCCTTGCACTCTTTTGGTCAGCTGTGACACAGACCGCTGCATGCTTGGCATTCATCCAGGCCTGCGGTGTTGCCTGTGGGAACTGACATAAATATGCTGACACTCCCTCTGCGTGCTGCACACCCTGAGTGACAGAGGCCTTTGCCTGTGATCAAGGATCCTGTGTCTTCTGTCAGCATTCACAAAACTGACAGGCTAACTTACTGGGTAAAATCAAACCTCAGACCTGATTGTTTCAGCAGCAAGGATTGGAATGCTGACAGAGACACACTTTTCTGGAAGGTGAACCATCAGGCCAGGTTGGGAATATTCGATTCCCTGGAATCAGTCTGGTAGTCAATGCTGTCACTCTAGATAGATTAAAGATGGGGGGAGGATAAGTGTTCCTAGCTTTTACTGAACAGGAGTTGAGTTAATGTTTACAGGCTGAATGGTAGAAATAGGGTTGAAACAAGCTGTCCGAATGTGCCTTGATTGTTGCTGACTCTGGCATGCAGACAGGAAGGAATGTTTTCATGACAAAGGGCCAGCAGTTCCTGTGAGGGACAGAAGGTGCCGAGGACTACAGAGTGGGGCACGTGAAGAAGAAAGGAGCCCCTAGACTGTAGTTTGCTCTGATACTGGCAGGCATCAGCACTGCCATGGGAGACAGAGTTGTGCAGATCTTCAGGCACTGGCAGGGAGCAAGGGGTGGGGGAGGGGGAAAGACCGAAACAATTCCGTTTCCCCCCCAGCAGCCCACCTCCCCCACCCCTGGCTTCCTTACCCTCTCAGCTAAGGAACAAGGTGATGTGGCATCCGTTTGCCACCTTTTGTTACGTAGCTCCTGACTCATGCAGTTTAGACTCTTCAGCTCGGAAAAGGGCATTTCTCCTTAGTGCAGAAGGGAGGCTTCCCTTGTGGTGGAGCTCTTTGGCTGATTGAGCGTCACACTGCTCCCAGCTCCTAAGGTCTAATGGAATTGACGTGTTATGTGCCCACAGGTCCCTGTCTAAGTGTCAGCGGGGCTGTTCTTATTTAGGGACTGCTGCATGCCTCAAGGTGAGAGTGGGGCCTGAGTCCCTCCCCATTCTGCTTTGTCTCTCTCCTCTCTGGTGGTCCAGCTGTTTCGGTGCAATACAGAAGTCCAACAAGAGAAAGGGAAATCACTGCTTTTGTTAAAGACTTGGTAGCAGCCCACGTACTCAAGCCATTTCCCAGCATAACATTGCAGCCTGCCTGACCCAGCCACCCAGCACTCCAGTTGGCTCCTAGCCTCTTCCTGAAACTGAACGCCTGACCCCTGGAGGCCTGGGAGTCACTGATGTGACGTCTCTACTCTGGGGTGGGTTGCCTGGCAACCAACAGGGACCCAACAGGCCTTGCAAGTCAAACAAATGGTAAGTTAGCATAGCCAGCCTGACTGCTGCAACAAGTATTTTGACTACATGAAAAATCAGTAGCTATCTTTGCGGGGATATTTTGTGTATATCTTCACTTCCTAAAGAAAAGCCACTGGCTTCGTCAGGGGTCTCAGTCCACAGAATGACTGGGTTTGGTTCAGTTTATTAGCAACTTTAGGAAAGCCCAGCAATATTTTCCTATAGCTGTAAATAATTCTGAAATTGTGAAGTATTCTAAAAATATATGGCAAGGCAAAAGAACTGAAACAGCTAAAACTATTTTGGAAAAGAAAAAGTGGGAAAAGTCATTCTACCCATTTTCAAAACTACAGTAATCAAAACTGATACTGATAGAGGGATAGACACATACATTGATAGAATCAAAAATAGTGTCCTTCCCGTATCATCAACTGATTTTGACAAATGTACAGCAATGCTACAATAGAGGAGGGCAGTGATACTAAATAAGGCAGTCAAAAATATGAATCACTGAACTGCACACTATACAAGACTTGAACTAGATCATAGATAATACAAAACTTTTGAAAATACTTCAGAAAAAGATACCATGTTCTAGATTAAGCAAAGGATCTTACACTTGGTACCAAAAGCATGAGCCATAAAAGGAAAAGTTTATAAATTGGACTTAATCAAAATGTATAGCTTTGTTCTGCAAAAGACCTTATGAAGAAGATGAAAAGTCAAGCTACAGACTGGGAGGAAATGTTTGCAAACCACATATCGAGAATATATAAAGAACTCTCTAAACAGTGAAAAGATAATCCAATATAAAATGGAAAAAAGACATTTCAGCAAAGAAGATGTTTAGCTAACAAATAAGCACCTGAAAAAAATGTTTAACATCGCTACCCGGTAGGAAATGCATGTTTAAACCATAGTAAGACATACTACTGGAGCAGGAAATGGCAACCCACTCCAGTATTCTTGCCTGGAGAATTCCATGGACAGAGGAGCCTGGCGGGCTACAGTCTGTGGGGTCGCAGAGTCAGACACAACCNTGTTTAACATCGCTACCCGGTAGGAAATGCATGTTTAAACCATAGTAAGACACACTACTGGAGCAGGAAATGGCAACCCACTCCAGTATTCTTGCCTGGAGAATTCCATGGACAGAGGAGCCTGGCGGGCTACAGTCTGTGGGGTCGCAGAGTCAGACACAACCGAAGGATTAACGTGAGGCAGACTACACACGTACCAGGATGGCTAAGATGATTAGTAGTATCACCAAATGCTGCCAGGGATGCCGCTGGGTCACTCATACACTGCCTGTGGGAACATAAAACAGGACAGCCTCCCTGGGAAATAGCTGAATCGTTTTGCTTAAAACTAACTACACTAACCATGTGACCAAGCATTTGCGCTCTTGGATATTGGTAACAGAGAAGTAAAAATTTAGGTCCACAAAACCTGTACACAATTGTTCATAGCAGCTTTATGCCAAACACTGAAGTCCACCAAAATGTCCTATAGTAACATCATGATTTACTGCAGTAAATGGAATATTTAAGGGGTGAACTAGTGACACAGCTTGTAACAACTTGAATGGGTCTCAGGGGCGTTCTTCTGAGTGAAAATCATCTCAGCATGTCACACACTGTATGGTTTCATCCATTTGCCATTTTTAAATGACAGAATAATAACAAATTGGTGGTTACCATGAGTTAGGGATGTTGGAGGGGAAGGGAGCTATGTGTGTGACTATAAAGGGATAGAAAAGAGGACATCTTTGTGGTGATGGAGCAGTCTGTATCTTGGTTACAATAGGGGCTACATGCGTTTACACGTGGTAAAATGACAACTATACATACATACTGTACCCAGTGTGAGTTGACTGGTTTTGATAGTGTACATTATGTAAGAGGTAACCACTAGGAGGCAAGAGTACTCTCTCTGAAGTACCTGTGTGACTTCGTGTAAATCTATAATTTTTTCAAATAAAATTTTAAAAATGTAAAAGGAAGCAGGCTAAATTTGGTGTGTGTTGTACGTTTGCTGACCCCTGCTTTAGCACAACAATCAGATAAGCGGTACCTTAGTGCATAATGAGTTATCAAAGTGCTACAGCTTGCAAACCATTGATGATTTTACATTTTCAGCAGTTGATTCGTTTCAAGGACTTTGATTAAGCAAAAGATACCAAAACTGCCAACATTTGTGTCAAATACTTGGCATGGCATTTGGGCCATTGACATTCTTTAAGTGACATACCACTGTTAAAAATGCCATGGCTAACAGCATACTAGCCTTTAACATGAGTGGTTTCACCAGGGTCCATTTGTGTATGATAGATTTGCTCAGCAAACCATGCCTAAAGCTAAATGAGGGAATACCCATTTGGGATAACACAAAGAACAAAATTTAAATTATAGGCCCAGCATTTGTGAGCATTATGAAAGTATAACCTAAATTTTTCTATGGATTCTTTTTCTTTAAGCTTCCATTGCCCCATTCTGGACACCTTGGGTTGACTTTACAGATGTGCTACCCATCACAGAATTTGGGACCACTCCTGACAGATTTTCAAATCATGGACTGTCTTCTCAAAAGATGAATTTCTATCATTGAGAACAAAGTAATCTACTCATTTCATAGACTGACCCTAAAAGGTATGTCTTGCTCAGAGTCCTTATTAAATGCAGAAGTCAAAAGTGTGTCATAGAAGTGTTCGAATCTCTTTTAATTGAGTCACCACTGAGTCACTACCAGGGGCTTCCCTGGTGGCTCAGATGGGAAAGAATCCGCCTGCAATGCAGGAGACCTGGGTTTGACCCCTGGGTTGGGAAGATCCCCTGCAGGAGGGCATGGCAACCCACTCCAGTATTCTTGCCTGGAGAATTCCATGGACAGAGGAGCCTGGCGGGCTACAGTCTGTGGGGTCGCAGAGTCAGACACAACCTTCCGCCTGCAATGCAGGAGACCTGGGTTTGACCCCTGGGTTGGGAAGATCCCCTGCAGGAGGGCATGGCAACCCACTCCAGTATTCTTGCCTGGAAAACCCCCGTGGACACAAGAGCCTGGCTGTCCATGGGTTGCAACGAGTCAGACACGACTAAGCGACCACCAATCTAAATACAGTATAGTGACGGACTTCCATGTGATGGCACGTACAGTAGAGTCAGAGTGGACTGTGCTGGGAGCATTGCTGAGGCAACAGACATGCCTAATGTGGTGTGGGGACAGCAGAAATGTCAGTGGGGAAATAAATTGACCAGGTGTCCCTATGATATGCACAAAGCTTGTCTTGATGCCAAAAGAATATGCAAACCTCAAGCTTCCCAGGGGAATTTGCTTTCTCTGTGGAGGTAGTTCCCATGACTTAGGCAGGTGTATGTGCACAGGGTGGTATTTGTTGAGACAATCCTACCCAGGAGCTTTACAGGGTCCTAGATTTTTTTTTTGCTGGGTGGCTGTAAAGTCCCTTTCTCTGCTACTTGCTCACATTTCAAAGGTTACATCCATCTTCAGGAGTTTGCTGGTAATAAGCGAGCACAAACACTAACGAAATTCTACCACAGGAGTGGAGATATGGCTAATTTGAAACAGGTAATCAAATTCAGGTAGGTGTATGTGACTATAGTGCTTGTTACTTACGCCCATGTGTCCTATCTGAGATCTGTATGTTCAGTTAAATCTAGAAAGAAAGCTCCATGATAAATCTAGAGAGACTAGAAGATGTCATCTGATTTCCCCATCCTATCCCCCGCACAGTCCATCCGTGCTAGAAATGGCCCCCGCTTATCTTCCTGCCAGACACTGGAGTAGTTCAGACCTCAGAGGTTGGCCTGGGAGCAAACAGGTATTTGTTTCAGACAGAAACAAAGAGATCTCTTAAGATAGAATTTACTTCTCCAGTCTGACTTGAATCCAAGAGAAAGGCAGAATTCTTTGGTTCACCTCACTCTCAAGTCAGATGGCAAAATATTCCCACCAAATATTCACATCGAGAGAAGAGAATGTAGTAAATACAGGTTTCTGTAATCAGTTTTATTCATGTAGATAGGGACACTGTTTACAGTTTTAAGTAGTACCTGGAAAACGTCAACAAAGTAATGAGCATCTTACAAATGTTTGTAAGTATGTAGTTATGTATTCATCTTTTAAACTTATAAAAATCAGAAAATGTTCACCAGAAAGTTTTATAACATAACAGTGGAACTAAATATATATATATATAACAGCTATAGCTACCGTCTACCAAATGCTTGCTTTCATTTGACAAGAAAAAAAGTATTTTTAAAATTATTTTATAAAATAGAGGGGCTTATGGAGTGGTAACTTCTGCAGTCTTCACAGCCGTCCCTCCTTCCCTCTCTTCAGCCTGAGCCAGCCTTGCCCATGTGACTACCGTCCCATTCCAATCAGTTGCAAAATAAAAAGGAAAAGGTTGATTATGTCCATGTAGATGTTCAGGGCAGCAAAAACATACTCTTCAGGGTCCAGGTTAGAATGATGGTGGCGCCCTCCCACCATCAGCTGCACATCCATCACCAAGTACTTAAAGAAAAGAAAGAAGAATTAGCTACTTAAACTGTACATTTTGATCAAAGAAGTGTTCTGAGATTACCTGGAAAGTATTTTACCATCAGTAAATGTATCACTAACAGTAAATGTGTAGCTAGAGATGTTATTCTCACAGCCTCAATCATTCACAGTCTCCCCAGGTTGGTGCTCTATCTGTTAAAGCAAGTGCTTCACTCCTGAAGCCAGTGGGACCAAATCTGTGAGCCCTCCTTTCCTTCCAAGTCCAGAAAGTCCAGAAACCTCTGTGCCTCTGGTCAGTGACGTGACCAGGTGGGCTGATTGGACACAGAGAGAAACTACAAAATGCCCTGCGTTTGTGACTTTCCAGCATGTTCTCACTGAAAACAAAGGAGGAAGAGACAGATGGTTCCCTGGTACTGACATTGCCCACAGCAGCAGTTCTGGACTCTCCTTTGGGTGATAGCGTTTTTCAAAGTTTGACATGGGCGATGGCTTTGTGATGATGTCAGTATTTCCAAAATAGAATGAGGAGAAGATTTATGTATGGTTAAATAACCCCCAATTAGACGTTTTAGCTCAGCTGTGGTAGGTAAAATCACAAGCTTCTTAAACATCAAGAAGAAAGTCGGAGAGCCTCTCACCCTTGGCGTTTGTTGCAAAGTCAGCAAATGTGGGCAGCGCAAGCACATGAGAGGGAGGGAAGGCACACAAGCGGCTGCCCGGGCCTTTACATCCAGACTGCGGGCTCAGAGTCCAGCGCCGTGAGGCGGCAGGGCAACCTTAGCACTACAGGGAGTTCCTGGGGTTTTAAAGATTCTTGAAAACAATCCATTTTAGAACAGCATCCACTACAGTGAAACCCATCGCAAGTAGTTCAGGTTATCAGCTCTTCCTGGGTCCTGGCTCCCACTCAGGCTTCTAAGAATGAACAGGGGAGGAGGAAAAAAGAACAGGAGGAAGAGGAAGAATCGGGCACCTTCTAGGTAGCCTCTTCTCCGTTCATGATAGACATCATCTCATATAAAGTGGGAACGACTTAGTTGAAGCAGGTGAGATGAACCGAGCCTCCAAGAAGGGAAGATCACTCTGTGGCAAGTGGTAGAGAAGGCAGTCAAACCCGAGGCTGGGGGTTGCCAAGGCAGCTCCCTCACCTGGACCACTGAGTCCCATCCCACTTATCTTCCCCCTCCCAATGTCTGATGCCAGCAACTCTGTGCAGAAAAAACTAGAATGAACCAACCACTCTAGTTTGCCCAGGGACTTCATGTGTCTTCAGTAACCCCTCCATCCCAGGCAAACCAGGACAGTTGGTCATCCTTAGAAAAAGGCCTCCAGCAGCTGAGCTTCCAGCCTTGCCCCTAGCCTCCATCTGTCACCCCGGGGTCCTAACTTCTATGGAAAAGTGCTTTTCTTTCTCTCTCCCCTCCAAGAACTGCTGACTCTATCTTATTTCTTCTTCTGAGAGAGATAATGACTCCTGATCATTTCATGCATTGGTAGTGAGGAGTGCAGAGTGCACCTCCCTGGTGAGGGTATGTGTTTGAAGGCAGACAGGGAAGTGGGAGAATAAAGTGAGCCGGGATCAAGCTGTCTGCCCCCGGGCCCCAGGGAAAGAGGACTCAGGACATCATGCCAGAGACAGCCAGCTCAAAGGGAAGACCTGGTCAAGATTTGGAGCCCCAGGAACATTTAGGGGTTCAATGAACAATCATAATAAGGTTGTAGGATACACAGTTACTATACAACAGTCAATTGATTTCCTATATGCCAGCAATGAATAAGTGAAACTGGAGATTAAAAACACAAAAACATTTCCACTAGCATACAAAACAAATTAAATACTTAGATATAAATCTAACAAAATATGGACAAGAACTGTATGAGGAAAACAATAAAGCTCTGATGAATGAGATTAGGGAAGAAATAAATGGAGAGACATTCCATGTTCATGGATAGACTCAATATTGTCACATATCAGTTGTTCCCAACTTCATCTATAGGTTCAACACAACCCCAATCAAAACCCTAGCAAGTTATTTTGTGGATATTGACAGACCGCTGCTAAAATTGATATGGAGAGACAAAAGACACAGAACAACCAACATAATACTGGAGGAGAAGAACAAAGTTGGGAGGACTGATGCTACCAGACAACAACATTTACTATAAAGTTTTAATCAAGATAGAATGGTCTTAGCAAAAAGACTTAACAAATACATAGATCAGCAGAACAGAATAAAGAGCAAAGGCAATACTAGTCTCTTCAACAGATGGTGCTGAAACAACTGGGCATCCACATGCCAAAAAAAAAAAGGATCTAGATACAGATCTTAAACCTTTCACAAAAAAGCTCATAACAGGGACTTCCCTGGCAGTCTGATGGTTAAGACTCTGTGCTTCCACTGCAGGAGGTGCAGACTCAATCCCTGCTCAAGATCCTGCATACCACGCACCATGGTCAAAAAATTAAATAAATAAAATTTTAAAATAATGAATAATAGACTTATATGTAAAACATATAACTCCTAGAATATAACATAGGAGAGAATCTAGATGACCTGTGGTATGGTGATGGTTTCTTAGATACGACACTAAAAGTATTATCTATTAAAGAAGTAATGGATAAATTAGACTTCATTAAAATTAATATAATATTTTCTGCTCTGTGAAAGACAATGTGAAGAGAATGATAATACAAGCTACAAACTGAGAGAAATTATTTGCAAGAGAAACATAAAGGACTGGTACCCTAAATATACAAAGAACTCTTAAAACTCAACAGTAAGAAAACAAACAACTTGATTACAAGATGGGCCAAAGAACTTAATAGCTGCTGCTGCTGCTGCTAAGTCACCTCAGTCGTGGCCGACTCTGTGCGACCCCATAGACGGCAGCCCACCAGGCTCCCCCGTCCCTGGGATTCTCCAGGCAAGAACACTGGAGTGGGTTGCCATTTCCTTCTCCAATGCATGAAAGTGAAAGTGAAGTTGTGTCTGACTCTTTGCGACCCCATGGACCGCAGTCTACCAGGCTCTTCCATCCAAGGGATTTTCCAGGCAAGAGTACTGGATTGGGGTGCCATCGCCTTCTCCAAAAGAACTTAATAGACACCTCACCAAAGAAGTTATATAGGTGGCAAATAAGCATATGAAAAGGTGCTCTACATCTTATTGTCAACAGGAAAATGCAAATTAAAATAATAATAAGATACTACTATGCACCTATTAGAATGGCCAAAATCTGAAACACTGATAACCTCACATGCTGGTGAGGACATGGAGCAACAGGAACTCTCATATACTGCTAGTGGAGAATGCAAATATTACAACCACTTTGGAATACTGTCTTACAGAACTGAACATACTCTTACTGTATGATCCAGTAAATGTGCTCCTTGGAATCTTCCCAGAGGAGCTGAAATAATCTGTCCACACAAAAACCTGCACATGGATGTTTGTAGCAACTTTATTCTTAATTGCCAAAATTTGAGAACAAATAAGATCCCCCTCAGTAGATGAATGAATAAATTAATTGCGGTAAATCCAGATGGTGGAATATTATTCAACATTAAAAAGAGATGAGCTACCAAGCCATGAGAAGACATGGAGGAATTTTAAGTGCACATGCTAAGTAAAAGAAGCCAATCTGAAAAGGCTTCATGCTGTATGATTCCTACTGTATGACATTCTGGAAAAGGCAAAACTTGGAAACAGTAAGATAATCTGATTAGTGGTTGCCAGGGGTTGGGGATGGGGAAGGGATCAATTTGGAGCAGCAAAGAGGATTTTTAGAGCAGTGAAAATACTCTGTATGGTATTACAGTGATGGGTACGTATCATTTGTCCAAACCCGTAGAATGTAGAACACCAAAGAGTGAACCCTAATGTAGGTGACTGTGATATATCAATGTAGGTTTGTAGTAAATGTTACACTTTGGTGGCAGATATTGACATTGCGGATGGTGATGCCGGCATGGAGGCTGGGAAATCTCTGTATCTTCCTTTCAGTTTTCAGTTCAGTTCAGTCACTCAGTCATGTCTGACTCTGCAACCCCATGAACCGCAGCACGCCAGGCCTCCCTATCCATCACCAACTCCCAGAGTCCACCCAAACCCATATCCATTGTGTTGGTGATACCATCCAACCATCTCATGTTCTGTCGTCCCCTTGTCCTCCTGCCCTCAATCTTTCCCAGCATCAGGGTCTTTTCAAATGAGTCAGCTCTCTGCATCAGGTGGCCAAAGTATTGGTGTTTCAGCTTCAACATCAGTCCCTCCAATGAACACCTAGGACTGATCTCCTTTAGGATGGACTGGTTGGATCTCCTTGCAATCCAAGGGACTCTCAAGAGTCTTCTCCAACACCACACTTCAAAAGCATCAATTCTTTGGCACTCAGCTTTCTTCATAGTCCAACTCTCACATCCATACATGACCACTGGAAAAACCACAGCCTTGACTAGACGGACCTTGGTTGGCAAACTAATGTCTCTGCTTTTTAATATGCTGTCTAGGTTGATCATAACTTTCCTTCCAAGGAGCAAGTGTCCTTTAATTTCATGGCTGCAATCACCATCCGCAGTGATTTTCAGTTTTACTGTGAACCTAAAGCTACTCTAAGAAGAATTGTCTTTATAAAAAGTGAAAAGGAGAAGGAAGAGGATGAGAAGAAAGAAGGAGCAAGTCAGTGGGAGGGCTTTCCAGTGAATTACTGACTCCACTTGACTCCAGGACTAGGGGAGGTCTTAAGGCCCTGTCAATGCACATTCATATTCTTTATCAAAGAAAGGGAGAAATGGACTTACGAGTGAGAAGAGCACAGTTCCAAGTCCAGCATACAATAAATGCAACCACTGCAGAAAGAAGGATACAACGTATGTTAAGAGCAAAATTGGGAACAACACAGGGGTCACTTAGGTCACTGCTGTTAGATAAGATGCTTAGAAAGTCACAACTGTGGGGAAATTAATTTTTTTTTTAACATAGTCCGTTGACAGTATCAACTCAATTCCATTCAGCAAGCAAGTGAAAACTAGCCTTTATGTATATCAAGTAAGGGTCATCGAGCAAGTATACATCTCATGCATAGTACGGCAAATGGGATATACTGAGTATGTTTCCTTTTTTGCCCCATCCACACAGCTCTTCTAGAAAAAATGCCCTCCCCTCAGCTCAGGGAATAGTGTGACCCTCACACAGCCTTGCTAGAGCTGATTGACAAGAGGTGGGAGATGCCACTCTGACAGCAGTGAATCTCTTGACTGACCAGGAACCTCTTACATGACCAGGATCAAAGAGATCCTCTGGGGCAGGTAGAAACCAGTTGTCATGATAGAGGGATCCAGGCAGCCATTGTGTGATTAGTTAGTGCTGGAATAGTTAGTGCTTCACAAGCAGAGATGACCAAGAAGGGGAGGTGGGGTTTCCGTTTCTGTGAAGTCTGGCTCCCCTTCCCAGCTAGGAGCTCCATGAGAGTCTCTGGGCCTTTGCCTTGAGCCAGTCTGAGTGGTATATGTTCCTTGCCACCAAAATAGCCCTGATCAGCATATCTGACAAATGGATCTAAATGCTTCAGAAAAGAATAAGGAAGTGGTGTACATCATCTGAGAAACACGATGGCATTCACTCCTCAGGGTGAGAGAGCTAGTCTAGGAGAGATGGGGAACACTCTGCTAACCAGAGAAGGTTCTTGAGGAAAAAGAGAAAGCAGGTGCCAGCGATACACTGTGAGGCACAGTGTTTCCAGACTGAGCCGGGGTGAGGAGACAGCTGACAGCTGTAGTCTCCAGGATTCAGAGGTGGCAGGGCCCAGCAGGCATGCATACGTAGGACACAGTTCTGTCAGTCTTCCATTTAATCATGTGTGTAAGATTATATGTTATTGGTATTTGTGACAGGAAATTTAGAATGGAAACTAGGGTTCACGTATCGAGTAGGAAACACCGTTTCTTAACTGCGCCTGAGTGGCATGGTAAAGATGTCAGGAACCCACCCACCACATGAATATGCGTATTATTACTACAGTATCTGTGCCACCATCAGTAACAATAAATGGAGAACTGTGGCCTTTAAAGACATACCTATGATGTCTTTGAGTTTATCTCCAAAATCCAGGCAAAAATACTGATTCTATGTCTGAAGTCCATTTAGCAATGCCACTTGTTGCCACAGAAATTCTTTAATTCAGCAGCAGGACCAAGTTGGCCTCAGGGCTTTAGACAGATGGTCACAAGCCCCAGGCCGGTTCTCTGTGAGCCTGGCTTCCAGTAGGGTCTCCATACAGGGGCCACTCCAGGCCCCTGCCAGACTTGGGGCCAGACCTTCTCATTCTGCCTGGCCACTTGCATATTGGACTCAGTCCACGGACCGTGTGCGTGGTGGAAAGGGTGTGACCACCCTATCACACAGACCTCGCTCTAACCCCACTCCTACCATCTACTCCCTGGGTGCAGTGTGGAGTGTGAATTCTTTAATTTCTCTGAGCCTGTTTTCTATAAGATTAGATGAGATGTACTTGTCAGGAATGTTGTTACAGTTAACTTTGATGCCTTTGTGAAAAACATGTAGGCCTATGTATGATATCTAGTAAGAAGGCAATGAATATATTAAAGAAAAAAAAAGAATGGAAGGAAGAAAGCTGGAATTGGAAAACGAGGAGCTTCCTCTAGGCTGCTGCTGTCAGAAGAGCAAGCCCATCTGGGTTTGCCCATCTGCACCCTCGTTCCTTCAGGCAGACAGCACCATGTAGGGAAGCTGGAATCTGATCTGCCCTGTGGGTTGGTCACCTCCATGATCCTCTCAGGGGAGGACAGCTGTTGTCCTGGGTTGGAGCTCAGTCTTCACACCCAGACCTGTCAGTGGTCCCCCCACCACACTGGTGTGGCAGGCGACCTCAGAGACCCCCAGCTATGGGGAGGGTCGTGTAATTGACCAGGGCCCTGGTGGCCATGCGGTGAGACCCACCGCAGTTTCCTTCCCGGGTCATGCTTTACCCTGTCAGTCACTGGTAGGGGAGCAGCAGAGCCTTCCCGGGAGACCCAGGCCCCCCTGATGGCCTTGCCAGAGCTTCCTTAGACGGCACCACATCCGGCAAGCTCCCCTCTTACTTCCCTCTCCTCCGCCTGGGCTCACGTGAGCTGCCATGTTTCGACAGCTCTTGTCACCCCCACGCTATTCTGTCACAGACATTTCTCCCACCAGTGTCCCTGCAAGTTTCACCCATCTGCTGTCTGCTTCTGGACTATCCACACAACCAGCACTTCACCTGATATTCTGCCAGTCCTCTGGGGTTTTCAAGGAGGTCCCACTTACATATGATCGAATGAAGATTAAGAGAATTCCATAGATGATAAGTACGAAGAGTAAGACAAACAGCGTTCCATTTAGCAAAGTGAAATCCCACTGAGGAAACATAAAAAACACAAAAACAATTCAATTATCATCCATAGGGATTTCAGGGTGTTTAGAGATGTATCTCATACCCCCTAGACAGAAACTGGCCCATTTGCTAACAATGTACCCTGGCTAATCCCGAGAACCATGGAAATCCATTAGCCCTACACACTGAAAAATGCTATATAAAAGGTATTGCATTTCTTCAAGAGAGAGAAAAGGTAAGGTATGGATGAAACGACAGAAGCCACAAATTTGCAATTTTTGAAACTAGGTAATTGGCACATGGGGGTTCATTAAAATATTCTGTTTGTGTGTATCTTTATAAAATTTTCCCTAATAAAAAATGTACAGTGAATAAGTAGGATGTAAATCTGTAAGTATAGTATGATCATAATCATTCATGTTTTTAAAAGCATGTGCATAGAATACACTAATGGCATTCAGTAGACAAAGGTATTAACTGGGTACCTTTTTCACATCTGTATGTATCAATTTTAGTGTATACATTTCAGTAGAAATATATATACTAAGCTTTCAAAAATTAATGATCCTTTTGTAAACCTAAAATTTATTAATGTGCTTTTATGAATCAATAACCAAATCAGCTTAGAGAAGATTAGCATTTTTAAAAGAAAGAGAAATATGCATCTTCTGACCTGAAAAAAATTGGATTAGGAAGCAAAAGAAGATCCTCGAATCCAATGTGTTTTCCTGCAAACATGTTTTCCTAATTCATCTATCTCCCTTATGTCACTCCCTGCCTTCAACACACCAAGAGAATAAAGTACCAGGTCACCGAGCCTGGTTCTCGGGCCAGAAGCATCGGCAGCACCTGGGAAGTGAACGTTACTGAGCCCCAGCCCAGACCTTGTCTTCACACAGGCATGGCTCTCAGCAGTCTACGTTTCACTAGCTCTCCAGGTGACTATGATGTCTGCCAAGAAAATTCATCTAGAGCTGTGCTTTTAATATACATGGCTAATAAGCACTGGAAATAGAGCTACTTCAAACTGAGATGGCTGCAAGTAGAAAATACTGGATTTGAATTTTAGTTTAAAAAAAAGAATGTAAAATGACTACTTTTGTTATACTGATTATATGTTGAAATAATAACCCTTCATATATATTGGGTTAAATGAAATATATCATTAATTTTACCTGTTTCCTTTTACTTAAAATTTTTTCTGATGCAGACCATCTGTTTAAGTCTTTATTGAATTTTGTTCCAGTATTGCTTCTGCTTTATGTTTTCTCTTTTGGCTGTGAGGCATGTGAGATCCCAGCTCCCTGAGCAGAGATTGAACCCACACCCCCTGCACGGGAAGGCGAAGTCTTAACCCCTGGGCCTCCAGGGAAGTCCCTCTTACTTTTTCAGCACGGTCACTAGGACGAGTGCTCGGTGGAGGTGAGGCCCACAGGAAGCAGCCAGCCAGGGGGAGGAGGAAGCAGAATGGGTCAGAGGGGCCGAGGAAGACAGTCACACACTGCCCATGACAGAAAGCTGCTTCACAAATACGTACTTTTGTTTGAAGAGCAAATAGACTGAGTGATAGCGTCACCAGAGCAGTCACTCCTGTTGCCCATAACACTTCCTCGGCGTTATAGAAACTAAAACCAGAGACTGTGGTTATTGCTCACATAACACTAGAAGAACAGCACACACACACAAACGAAAAGAATCGGTATCAGAGACTTACACTGACACGGTTCCTAGCAGCAAACCTTGAAGAACTGTCTAAAAACAAAATTCACAATGAATCAGAAGCCCAAGGCGCCAAATCCAGAAGAGCTGGTTGAGGTGTGTGTGTTCTGGAAGGTTAGAGGGAACTAGCAGGAATATGCATGATCTTAGCGCACAAAGCTATAGGCTATGCCATATGGAAATAATGGAAATAAACATTTTCTTAATGTTCTCCCAAAGACTGACAAGAAAAAAAATTCTATATGAGTAAAAAGTTCTTAGAATACAATAGTAACTTTCAATTCAACTTGCATATTCAGTGAGTTAAACATGTATTAATTAGGAATGTAGGAACCAAGGTATAAGCTTTATCTGTAGAGCGTACTGTCATTAATCAAGTGGGACCATCCACACAAATCTTGACATTTTATCAGAGCAGGATGTGCTATTTCTATTAACGCCACAGCAACTGTTTCAGTACTGACCTTTCCCACAGCGCTTGGATGAGAACAAAATGCTTCAACCCTCAGATGTGGGATGGGGATCGAGACCTCAATACCTGGGGGTGGGGCTGCAGGACACTTAGCTACAGGGCATGTGGCTGCACTGGCAGGTGCCAGTCCTCAGCTCTGAAGTGGGCTGCATCGGGGCAGTATGGGTGCTGTGTAGGGGTCAGAGGGTTCCCTTGGTCCAAATGAGCCAGAGACGGGGTGCTGTGGGAGAGACAGGGGAGTGAGAACCAGAAGGCAGCCAAGCCGGAGGATGAGACCAAGAAGGCGGTGATGGTGTGCCTGGGCCCACAGTCGGGCTCCAGGACTGACTGGCAGGCCCCTGAGAACTGCGGTCAGCAGTGCTGCAGGGCCTGAGGACATTCTCAGCTGGCCAGATGCTCTGTCTTCTCCAGTGACACGAGGAAGCTATTCTTCCCAACATGTAATGCACATTAGACAGTGCAAGATCCTCAGACTTTCAGGATGCAAGATGCAAGATTCTCAGAGTGCTGAGAAAGAAACTCACTGTTGCCCATGTGTCCTTGCTCATGTTGACCACCAGGAGGCGCAGGTCCAAATCTAGGCTGATCAAACTCAAACGCTTGGGACTAGGCATTTTGTGCACTAATCTCACCTCTGGCTTCATTTTCCTTTCCTTATTTTTCCTTCCATCAGATTTCCCCACCAACTTATCTTCTTACAATGTGTGTATTTTTATAAGCTACCTCAACACCGATGTGGAACCAGGTGAAAAGCAAATGAATTGGTGAGTAAATCTCGTTGGAAGGGCGGTCAGCAGTTCGTGGGAGCAACTGCATAGAATCTGACTTTCTAACTCATTGAACCACAGTGAGATTTCCTCTGGGTTTTCCTAAGAGGAGCAAATGCTTATTGTCAGTGAGTTCACTGCCTCCAGGAAGCAAGTGTTGGCCCAACTGGTAACAGAACAGATTCAATTACAACATAGTCAGGAGACGTTGAAATAGAAGTAAAATAAATTTTACAGAGAAAGTTACATTTCTTGCACACAATTTGTGAACTAAATGTGGAACTCACTCTCCGCAACAAAATGAGTTTGTTGTGCCTGACAGAGGACAGTTGGGTTAACTGTCTTGGGAGACTCGGGAGCAGGCCTCTCAGAGGCAAGTTTGCTGGCCCAACGGAGTAGCCAAAGGTCCCCAAATTCTCTAGCTTGTTAAAAGTGTGTGGATTCCCCCTCATATGTAAGTTGACTTCAAAATTCATCCAAGAGAACGTCTCACAAATAATTTCTATCTTCTTATTCCATAGGAAGATTTTTCCACACAAAAAAGAATGAACTTAATAATGAGATGAAAATATATTTCAGAGGTGAATGACAACGGATGCTAAAGAGGTTTACTTACAAATAATCCCAGGAGAATGTAATTCGCAGGCACCTGGCGGCGGAGTTTCCCACAGCAGGCAAGTATAATAAATACAACGAAAAAGGCTGGCCTGGGCATAATTTAAAACCATGTGTTATTTGCTTCCAGGGCTTATATCATGTGATATATTACAGGTAGATAGATATAGAGACATTTGATCTGATGATAAGTATTATAAAAAAAAATAAAGATTATTATTTTTACCTCTTTTTTTTTTTTGGCTTTTAAAACTAACTTTTCCCATTGCCATCCATACACAGTTTGTGGGTTCTTCAAAACTTTGAAATAATTATCGATTCACAGGAAATTGCAAAGGATCAGAGGCCCTGTGTACCCTTTCCCCAGTTTGCCCCCATTTTACATATTTAAAGTAGAATACCCAAACCAGTATGTGACATTGGTACAGCGTGTATATATGTAATGCTATGGCATAGACCTGTGACACAAATATGTGTGCAGATCCATGTAACCAGCAGCACAATCAAGGTGTGGAACTACCTCATCATTAAACTATTGTACCATCCCTTTATAGTAACTCACACACATATACACATGCACTCATAAAGCCCTAACTCCCAGCAACCACTAATTTGCTTGTTTTTCATCTCTATAATTTTGTCATTACAAGAAAATGTTACCTTTACCTAATTTTTAATAAAGAACATCAACTGATAGCTAGTAGAAAGATCACCTTTTATTTAATCCAGTAATACTTACAAGAGTGAGTAATTGAACCAGGGATGCTTGATCACCCAAGATCGTAAAGCGTCCCTGGTTAAAAAAAAAAAATGATATTGTCTTACACTATAAGTAGTTTATTTTGCTAACTAGTATAATATTTAAGTATAAATTAAACAATCTCATGAGAAGAAAGGGGGAAAATCCTAAGTAGTTGACAATGACAGATGAGAAAGGAAACAGTGAAATATATAACTGTTAAACTGTAAGATAAACTGTATCTCACTTCTTAAAATAGGGTCATAAAAAGTACAGTCATAAGTAGCAAGTGAAATTTGGATAAATGCAAATATCCCAGTGAAGATTTTTATTTAGAAATACTGAGATATATATAAACAAAAGTAATAAAATTTTCATATATTTGTCTAAAATATAGATTTTCAAAGGATGAGTTTAAGCAGTGATGGATCATATACTTCCTGAAATAATTTCTGCATTTAAGAGATCTAGCCTTCAAGGCCTTCACAATCTCACCTTTTTTCCTTTACTCGATTTTGTCTGTGGAAATAACTCAGGGAAAATAAAAAAGAAAATAGTACCCAAAATAAGAGTAAGGGAAAAGTTTTTGGCTTAGGAAGTTAAACTCCGGACCCAGGAGGCAACGCTTCTGTGTCAGGTCAACATGGCAGGCCGGCCAGCTGTTTCATCATCAAGCAGGTGGCTGGAGGGTATTCGAAAATGGTATTACAATGCTGCTGGGTTCAATAAACTGGGCTTCATGCGAGATGACACAATACATGAAAATGACGATGTGAAAGAAGCCGTAAGAAGGCTTCCTGAGAACCTTTATAAACGACAGAGCGGTTCGCATTAAGAGAGCACTGGACCTCAGTATGAGGCAGCAGATCCTGCCTAAAGAGCAGTGGACAAAATATGAGGAGGATAAATTCTACCTTGGACTGTATCTGAAAGAGGTTATTTGGAAAGAAAAGAGAGAGAAGAATGGGCAAAGAAATAATTTAGTAGTCTAAATCTGTGGATACAGCTGTTCTCAAGTATTTTTATGAAGTTGGTTAAACCTAAAATGTACGATGTAGAACTATTTGGGCTGTAAATGTATTACTTTAAATAAATATCATAATTATTATTGGGAAAAAAAAATAAAGTGAAACTCTAGAAGTCTACTAACACTTTGTTCTAGGAGTTGCCTCAGAAAAACAAAGCAATAGAAATGATATATCCTATGAATGATTGGGCTTCTCAGGTGGCCCAGTAGAAAAGAACCCGCCTATCAATGCAGGATACACAAGAGATGCAGGTTCGGTCCCTGGGTTGGGAAGATCCCTTGGAGAAGGAAATGGCAACCCACTCCAGTATTCTTGCCTGGAGAATCCCATGGATGGAGGAGCCTGGTGGGCTACAGTCCATGGGGTCGCAGTCAGATGCAACTGAGCACAGACACATATGAATGATTAAGGAAAAATAGATAATTTTTTAATGATCAAAATTCAGTCAAGCTAAATAGTGAGAATTAATGTGGGCAACTTAATAGGTCATCTCCATCAGTAATGAAGACCTACCAGAAAACAAACAGGCTGATGATTGCCCCAGTGATCAGAAGCTGAATGGACAGGAGGAAGAACACTTTTACGATGAAAGCTGAGGAGAAAAAAACTTATTTTTATGATACAATATTCAAAAGTAAAAGTATAAATGTAACTGCCTTTTTTTGACACTTAGTGAAATAAGTTTTTCCTCTGATTTTCTTGAGGACAGGAAAGGGAATGCAAGTTTAGAGTTGGCCAATGGTGTGCCAACTAAGTTTCAGCTTCAACATCATTCCTTCCAATGAACACCCAGGACTGATCTCCTTTAGGATGGACTGGTTGGATCTCTTTGCTGTCCAAGGGACTTTCGAGAGTCCTCTCCAACACCACAGTTCAAAAGTTCAATTCTTTGGCACTCAGCTTTATAGTCCAACTCTCACAGCCATACATGACTACTGGAAAAACCATAGCCTTTACTGGACAGACCTTTGTTGGCAAAGTAATGTCTCTGCTTTTAATATGCTGTCTAGATTGGTCCTTCTTTCCTTCCAAGGCATAAGTATCTTTTAATTTCATGGCTGCAGTCACCATCTGCAGTGATTTTGGAGTCAAAAAAAAAAAAATCAGCCACTGTTTCCACTGTTTCCCCATCTATTTCCCATGAAGTGGTGGGACTGGATGCCATGATCTTAGTTTTCTGAATGTTGAGCTTTAAGCCAACTTTTTAACTCTCTTTCACTTTCACCAAGAGGCTCTTTAGTTCTTCTTCACTTTCTGCCATAAGGGTGGTGTCATCTGCATATCTGAAGTTATTGATATTTCTCCCAGCAATCTTGATTCCAGCTTGTGCTTCATCCAGTCCAGCGTTTCTCATGATGTGCTCTGCATATAAGTTAAATAAGCAGGGTGGTAATATACAGCCTTGATGTACTCCTTTTCCTATTAGGAACCAGTGTGTTGTTCCATGTCCAGTTCTAACTGTTGCTTCCTGACCTGCATACAGATTGCTCAAGAGGCAGATCAGGTGGTGTGGTATTCCCATCTCTTGAAGAATCTTCCACAGTTTATTGTGACCCACAATCAAAGGCTTTGGCATAGTCAATAAAGCAGAAATAAATGTTTTTCTAGAACTCTCTTGCTTTTTTGATGATCTAGCAGATGTTGGCAATTTTATCTCTGGTTCCTCTGCCTTTCTAAAACCAGCTTGAACATCTGGAAGTTCACAGTTCATGTATTGCTGGCTTTGCAAATTTTGAGCAACTTTGCTAGTGTGTGAGATAAGTGCAATTGTGCAGTAGTTTGAGCATTCTTTGGCATTGCCTTTCTTTGGGATTGGAATGACAGTTGACCTTTTCCAGTCCTGTGGCCACTGCTGAGTTTTCCAAATTTGCTGGCATATTGAGTGCAGCACTTTCACAGCATCATCTTTTTTCTCTTGTTTTCACAGCTATTTGTAAGGCCTCCTCAGACAGACATTTTGCTTTTTTGCATTTCTTTTTCTTGGGGATGACCTTGATCCCTGTCTTCTGTACAACTGCATGAACCTCTGTCCATGTTCATCAGGCACTCTGCCTATCTGACCTAGTCCTTAAATCTGTTTCTCACTTCCACTGTATAATCATAAGGGTTTTGATCTAGGTCATACCTGAATGGTCTAGTGGTTTTCCCTACTTTCTTTAAGTCTGAATTTGGCAATAAGGAGTTCATGATCTGAGCCACAGTCAGCTCCCAGTCTTGTTTTTGCTGACTGTATAGAGCTTCTCCATCTTTGGCTACAAAGAATATAATCAGACTGATTTCGGTGCCGACCATCTAGTGATGTCCATGTGTAGCATCTTCTCTTTTGTTGTTGGAAGAGGGTGTTTGCTATGACCAGTGCGTTCTGTTGGCAACACTCTATTAGCCTTTGCCCTGCTTCATTCTGTACTCCATGGCCAAATTTGCCTGTTACTCCAGGTGTTTCTGGACTTCCTACTTTTGCATTCCAGGCCTCTATAATGAAAAGGACATCTTTTTGGGGTGTTAGTTCTAAAAGGTCTTGTAGGTCTTCATAGAACCATTCACCTTCAGCTTCTTCAGCATTACTGGTTGGGGCATAGACTTGGATTACCGTGATATTGAATGGTTTGCCTTGGAAATGAACCGAGATCATTCTGGGTTTTTTTGAGATTGCATCCAAGTTCTACATTTCAGACTCTTTTGTTGACTATGGTGGCTACTCCATTTCTTCTAAGGGATTCCTGCCCACAGTAGTAGATATAATGGTCATCTGAGTTAAATTCACCCATTCCAGCCCATTTTAGTTCACTGATTCCTAAAATGTCAACATGCAGTCTTGCCATCTCCTGTTTGACCACTTCCAATTTGCCTTAATTCATGGACCTAACATTCCAGGTTCCTAGGCAATATTGCTGTTTATAGCATCGGACCTTGCTTTTATCACCAGTCACATCTACAACTGGGTGTTGTTTTTGCTTTGGCTGCGCCTCTTCATTCTTTCTGGAGTTATTTCTCCACTGATCTCCAGTAGCATATTGGGCACCTACCAACCTGGAGTTCCTCTTTCAGTGTCCTATCTTTTTGCCTTTTCATACTGTTCATGGGGTTCTTAAGGCAAGAATACTGAAGTGGTTTGCCAGTCACTTCTCCAGTGGACCGCACTTTGTCAGAACTCTCCACCATGACCCGTCTGTCTTGGGTGACCCTCCATGGCATGGCTTAGTTTCATTGAGTTAGAAGTTAGAAGAGTTAGAAGAAGGTCTAAGCGTGGCATATTGTTTCCTGAGGACCTACAGCATTTGCCTGAATTGCTTAACTTCCAACTTCATATTTCATGAAAGAAAAAAATTCTCATTTATTTAAGCCATAGTTTTTTGGACTTCTGTTACAGCTGAATGTATTTCTGATACAGAATTAATATGTAGGGCTCTGATTTAGTGTTCTTTAAAACTAAAGCCAGTATCATGGTATCACTTTGCGTGTTTAAGTGAAGACATTCTGTGTTCAATGAGTCATTCACATTTCTTAAGAAAACCACAATTTACTCACCATAATATGTCTATCATGAATTTATGAATGCCCCGGAAGACTTGGGGAGCCGTCTGTTCTTACGTATGTCATGTTTCTTGGTAAAGCATCATGGGAAAAACTAAAGGCAAATTTAAATCCTACAACCCACCCTGTGGAAATATTTTAAGAAAACTTTTGCTGTTCTCTTCCAAAAAGGCCATTGCTTCATTCTTACCTCTGCGGACAGCTGTTTCTGAAAATGTGCCCGGGCTGACGTCGTCTGTCGTAGTCTCTGGTGAAATCTGCACCACATAGGTATCTGCTCGCTTACCAGCCTTTGAGTGTGGATTTCCATGAGCTTGCTGTGGCCCCTCAGTGGAAGGTGCAGTTCCATAGGACCGAGCAGTCCTGCCCCCAGGATAAGAATCTGAAGCTTTCCGAACCAGATGTTGATGATCTCCAGAGCTAAAGTCTATTGGTTCACTGACCTCCACGTCCATTTTCCTGGATAGGGAACACTGTTAGTCAGGTCCTTATGAGTGTATCACTACAACCTTAGCAACTTCATAATAGCAGACGATGTTTTTTCTTTATTTTAACTCCCTTGGCTCTGTACTTTCCAAGTCATTGCTCCACACATACTGGTTGAATAAATGATGAAAAATAGTTTTAATATGAGAACAATAGATTAAAATAACTTGATTTCTATTATGAGAGTAATATGTTTATAGATTTATTCTGCAATGAGTGAATTAACTCCCTCTTACTTAGAGTTGCCCTTGTCACCTTTGCCCTTAAAGAGCTTACATTTTGGGAGAGAAGATAATCAAATAAGCAATCATATAAAAGGCAATAGAAGTAGGGCCAGAAACATGGAGGATATTATGAGAGTAACAAAGTGTGGAAGGAGATGCAGGGAGTAGAAGAGGCTGTCAGAACCCTCCAGAGAAAGTGAGGTTTAAGGCAAGGTGAGGAGATGAGAAGGAGTCAGAAAGGTAAGAGGTAGGGGAAGGTTTTCCAAGGCAGAGGAGTCTGTCTGGGCCAGGACTGGAGGAAGCAGAGAGGCAGGTTCCAGAAACTGAAGGAAGTGCATGTGGATGGAGTTAGGGAGTTGGAAGGGGAAAGCAGCGTGAGGTTAGAAACAGGAGAGCAGAGGGGGCAGGTTGCTGTGGGGCTGGCTAGTCAAATTCACCCTGAAGGCCATGGTTGAGTAGTGGTCCCCCAAAGCAACCCACTCCAGTATTCTTGCCTGGAAAATCCCAGGGACAGAGGAGCCTGGCGGGCTATAGTCCATAGGGTCACAAAGAATCAGGCACAACTTAGCAACTGGGCACGCACGCACACAGGTGTCCACGTCCTAACCCCTGAACCTGTGAACCTGTTAGTTTGTGTGGCAAAAGAAACACTGCAGACGTGACTAAGTCAGGGAGTATGAGGTGGGACTCTCTGGGTGGACCCAGTTGATTTACAAGGGTCCTCATCACCATACTTAAAAGAGGAAGGAGGGTCAGAGTCAGGAAGGAGACGTGATAAGGGCAGCGCAGGTCGGAGGGATCAGCGACTGTCTAGGAAGATGGAGGAAGGGGCCGTGAGCTAAGAAATGCAGTAGGCCTGTGGGAGTTGGAACCGGTAAGGAAATGTAATTTGTAGGAATGTATCTTGATTTTAACCTAGTGAAACTTATTTCTGACCTCTGACTTCCAGCACTCTAAGATAACAAGTTTTTGTGTTGTTTTAAGGTGTTACATTTGTCCTAATTTGTTACCGCTGCAATAAGTAATTAATACAATGGGGAAATCGCTGAAGGTTTTCCAGCAGGAGGGCGTGGGGATCTGACTAGAAAGGTTACAGGAGGCACAGTGTGGAGAGCGGACCAGAGGAAGCAAAAGTGGAAGCAGAGACCAGAAATCCAGTAAGAGACTCTGGTGGGCTCTGCCACAGCGCTTCTCAACAGAATAGAGTTCTCAGAAAACCGGTACCAAGCAGATCATTTATGGCAAAGCCAAAGGCCCCCATTCACCTCTTGGGAACATGCAGACTCAGGCAGGCTCCTGCTCGTGGGCCGCTGCCCCACAAAGAACCATGGAGATGTCTGAGGAGATGAATGAGATGGGGAGGGCTCGGGCAAACCATGGACCAGGTGGGACTGGCATCTGAAGAAAGTGAACAAGATACCATGCCCCTGGGGAGGCAGACTCTGTCATATACAGTTATCCCTTCTTCTCAAATTAATCTCTAAATTTTACAAAACTTATTGAAATTTTTTTCAGTACTTCAAAACATAACTCTAAAGCTCACCAGAAAGAGTAAATGTATGAGAATAATCAAGACAAAAATTGAAAGAGGATTTCCGGTAAGAGGGAAAATGGAATCAAAATATAATAAAGTTAAATAATTAAAAGTGTAGTGTTCACAGGGCAACAGATAAGTAGATCAACAGGATGGAAGAGATTCAAGAAATAGAATCATATATGTAAGAATTTAATATTTGGTAAAGGTGGTATTTCCATTGTCTTGTGGTATTAGAACAATTAGCTATGCTTGGAAAACAAAGTTTAATAGCTTTGTTTTATTTCACATCTTTTACAGTAATTCATTGCAGATGAATGAAAGATTATAATAATAAGTATTATAGCCAAATAAGAAGATATCAATGAAATTTGTATAAGCCTTTGTGAGAATGATACCATGAAAAAAATGCTTGACAGATCTGGGGTAGAGGAACACTTTAAATATCATCATAAAAAGATATCAACAAATCTGAAATGAAAAATTCTGAAAATAAAATTTGCAATATTTACTATAATGTAAAAACATGGAAAAGATGAGCAAGTCAATAGAAAGATGAGAAAGGAACATAAGTACAGGAAATTTATACATTCATACAGGAAATTCATACAGGAAATTTAAATGGTCAATCAACTTAGGAGACCACACCTTACAAATAGTCAAAGAAAAGAAATACAATCGTGAAATGCTTTTTTTGTTTGTTTAGCATAAAGACTGGCAAAAACTAAAAAGAGAATTCTCAGAGTTGCAAGGATGTGGAGAAATGGATAAGCCAGGGCCACATTATGACTGGTAAGGGCCCTATACACATTTGCCTTCCTGCGTCCTACCTCCGTAATAAACTATGAAGGAGTATATTTTAAGGGTTTCATTAGTATAAAAAATAATATCCAGGCTGGATTCACTGTATATTATATATTCATTGTTACTGTATTCATTTTTCTCCTGATTTTAAAAGAAATTTTAAAAGTTTTCATAACCCCCAAAACTATTGTGGGCCCTCAGCAATGCATCTTCTGTGTCCAGTGACTAAATCAGCCCTAACATAATTTCACAGGAGTTGGCAGGTGTGCAGACTTTTGTGGGTGAGTAATTTGGCAACATCAATCACAATTCAAAATGTGTGCCACTTTAGACACAACAGTTATATTTTTAGGAATTTCCCTCATAAAAATATCCACACAAACAGGCAACAATACGTGTGTAAGGAAGTTCATTATATCAGTCATTTTAACTCCAAAAAATTTAAAACAGGCTAAATATCCAACATCAGAGGAATGGGTTATCACTAACACAGCAGAATTGAGGGATATGCTGAATTGTATGAATTTTTATAATGAAAACAAAAAGTTTTTATTAAAAAGATAGTTACATTTCCTCAGGTAAATAAAATATTTCTCTTTTTGATAAAATCCGAACTCCTCTGAGGAACACAGTCTTCACATACAGCTGAGAAGGGTTAAAAGATGTTCAAACAACCAAGTTGGTTTTGTTCCCCAGACATCCCGCAAATCGGAGGGCAGAGAGGCAGCAAGATTCAAAGAGCTCTCAAGACCAAAACCAAAGGAAGAAGAGTCAAAGACAGCTGAGATTGCCTTATAAAACTACAGCGGTGGGCTACCTGAATCGCAAAATGTGGCCTTCACCCAGTCCTCAGAGAGCTGTGTTGGCTGCTAAGCCAGCAGTCACTTGAAGGACAGGTCGGCACAGGCGTGGGTACTGAGAAGCGAAGTTCTGAGTGGCAGTTAGGGGAGTGACAGTTGGAGGATGGGGTGGGCCGGGACCCCCACTGCCCGGGAGAGGGGGTCTGAGTCCGGTCCCTCTGCTGGGCCCTTGGTGGCCGCTCATGGCCAAGGCACTCGGTGCTGAGTCTCAGGGAGGCCTGTTCCGCCATCTCCAAGCCAATTCCGTGTCAAGGAGGGTCCCAAGGCCTTAGCAGAGGCAACCGGAGGACAAGGTATCCTCACCACATCATCACCATTTCCCAAACAGGAGGAGGACGCTTAGGAAGCTCCACCAGGGATCCCGCATGGTTATTTCAGATAAGGAAGATGCGTTTGTGATCCAGCCAGTGCTGGATGGTGGGCGATGACGTTAATAGGCAACTTGAGTGCCCACTGTGGTGCAGGGGGATGCCTGCTCAGGCTGCAGGCCAGGGAGGAGCCAGGCAGGGAGGCCCGATGCAGGCTGGTTGGTGAGAGAAGTCAGGTGATGAGCTGGGGCAGTGAGGAGGGGAATGGGGCAGGCACTGTTCATTCAGCCGAGGAAAGGCTGACTGATCTATGAACCCACACACACTAGACTGCTAACTGATGCCTACCTACTGAGGCTTCCCTGGTGGTTCGGTGGTGAAGAACCCGCCTGCCAATGCAGGAGACGTGGGTTCAATCCCTGGGTCAGGAAGGCCCCCCTGGAGGAGGAGATGGCAACCCACTCTGGTATTCTTGCCTGGGAAGTCTCACGGACAGAGGAGCCTGGTGGGCTGCAGTCCGTGAGGTCGCAAAGCATCGGACGTGACTCAGTGACTAAACAACAACAACAAACAATGCAAGATGTGGGGAGGTAGAAGAAACACAGAGAGGAAAACGGCAAACTTCCTTTCCTCAACGTGCTCCTAGTGTAGCGGGAGAGACGAGGGTACGGAGGGGCCCCCTAAGGTAAAAGGAGGGAGAAGGCACAGCAAGGAGCAGCTGCTTAGTTTGGCAGGGGCCGGGGAGGGCTGCGACTCCTGGCATGAGGTTTCCTGGACCAAGTGATGCCTGAGCTGATTCTGCAAAGATGGATAGGGTCCTTATGACGCCTTGAGAGCGAACATATTCCAGGTAAGGAGAACACCCTGAACCGAGGCATTGGCATGGGAACCATTGGGCCACGCACACGAAACAGAAAGTAAGTTCTGGGTTATTTGCACAGAATGTGTGACTGCAGTGGGACCCAGGGCTGCCATGATGCCCCTCCTGAGGATAGAAGATGAGGTCAGCAGGTATACCTGCCCTGGCCCTCTCTGTCTTCTTGCACTTCCATAGGTCTCACCCTGCCCAGTCCACACGCTTTCTTTCTCTAGTCTGTCAATGTTAATAGGCAACTTGAGTTAATTACACTTTTTCCAAGATTGTAGTTGGGGGAGAGGGGTATACATTTGACCAGCCTTGTCAAAAGAATGCCTCCTCCTGTCTTAGCCTTAGGATTGGCATTATATCAAGTAGTGACCAGGTTGAAGAGCTGCTAACACCTCACTTGTGCTAACTCACTGAATCCTCCCTTTAACCCATGAGGTGTGCTCTCTCCTTATCCATTCGACAGGCAGGTAAAGGAGACTCAGTGGCTGGGTGCCCTTGAGGTATGCGGGACAAGGGTGTGGTTGGACAAGGAGCTCTGCCGTCCAAGCAGAACCAAGATACAAGATGTGGTGAACAGCATCTCTTTGAAACAGGCCCTGGGATATATTTTATGCATTTTTTAAAAAGAGCTTTAATTAATGAAGCATGCAGCACCTAAATCATGCAAATTAGACTGCATGTTGACAATGATAATCCCTGGGGAGCTCAGCTTTATTTCTTTCGCATAGTGTGAATGTTAAGACCTTGGGAGGTATTCATTTTTGTGTTCACAGCTTGCACACTCACAAACATACATACACACAGACACACTGCACCTGCAGAATATTCTCAGACATCCCCATAGGCAGCAAATCATCTCTTTCCCCTGGGTCCAAGCTAGGACTCTCTCTCTCCTGTCGATCTGAGATCTCCCATGGCACCTCAGGGAGCCCTGGCCTGGCCGGTGGTGGCTCCAGCTCTTGCTGAGGTGCCATGAGGGAGCAGGACTGGGTCAGAGCCTTCACTGACAGTGTCTTCCTGAATCCTTCTCTCCCGCCCCTTTCTCTCACCTCCCAACTTGACCCCACCCCCTTCCCCCTACCCATCACATAGTCCTATTTATCCTTGCAGCACACTGGTCTGTTCTGCTAACACTCCAGGACATCTGCATAGGAGCTTTGTGACACTATAGCTTTGCTGCTCAGAAGAGAAGCCCTATGTTTTGACTGAGAACTTTGTGCCCGGTGTGATAATTGATCAAATCTTGATGCAGCCCTGGGGTGGGTGATACCCTTCCCAATTTACAGACAAGGGACTGAGATGCTGAGAGGTGTCTGCTTGCCAGTCCTTGACTAGATACTGTCTGCTGTGACCTACCACCTCCAGCTGGCAGAGGATTTTTAGGACCAAGAAACCACCAATTTCCTTCTTTTCCTTTTGATACTTTCCCCTCTTTTTAAAAGTAAAAGTAACACATAATGTGGTAAGAAATATTTCAAATGATAAAGAGGTGCAAGCAAAAGGCTACATATTATATAATTCCATTTACACAAAATGTCCAGAACAGGCAAATTCATAGGGAAAGAAAGGAGATTAGTGGTTGGGGGAGATTTGACTTTAACCCTTTGACTACTTAATGGTTACTTAATGGAGAGTTTCTATCTGGAGTGATGAAAATGTTCTAAAATTAGATAGTGGTGATAGTTGTACAAATCTGTGAATATATTAAAAACCACTGAATTGTATACTTTAAAAGGGTGAACTGTTTTGTACAAATAAATAAAGCTGTTAGAAAAAAAGGTGCAAAAAGAAAAGGATAAGCCTGTCTCACCATCTCTGTATATCGATTAGCAACAATTTTTTTGCTGAATAACTAAAAAGGGTACACACCACGTACATAGATATTTAATTTACATACAGTGATCATGTTCTATGCACTGTTCTATAAATTGCTTTTTCACCTCTTCATTATATCTGAAATCTTTTCATATCAGTAAATATTAATAGAAGAGCTTTGAATGGTTTCCCATCTCACTGAGAATAAAATCGAAAGTCCTTTCTTTGGCTGACATGATCTTGATGCCAAAGCCTGAAAAAGATATTACAAGAAAGGAAAATTATAAGCCCCACTCATGAACATAGATACAAAAAATCTTAAAATATTAGTAAAGTAATCCAGCAATATGTGAAAAGAACCAGTACACGATAACCAAGTTGGATTCAATCCATTAGTGGCAATATTAATTTAACATTCAGAAACCTGAATTCACATTATTAACAGACAAGGAAGAAAAAGCAGGACTTGCCTGGTGGTACAGTGGATAAAAATCTGCCTGCCAATACCGGTGACACGGGTTCGATACCTGGCCCAGGAGGATCCCACAGGCAGCTAAGCCCACGTACCACGACTACTGAGCCCAAGCTCTAGAGCCCACGAGCCGCAGCTGCCGAGTACACCCGCTGCAACTACTGAAGCCTGAGAACTCTAGAGCCTGCGCTCTGTGACGAGAGAAGCCACTGGGCAATGAGGAGCCCAAGCACCGCAACAGGAGAGCGGCCCCCGCTCTCCACAACCAGAGAAAGTCCACGTGCAGCAGCAAAGACCCAGCAGAGAAAAAGTAAGTAATTTTTTAAAAAGGAGAAAGAGCATTATGATCATCTCACACAGAAAGCTGTTGGATAAAATTCTACACATGCATGATGAAAACAGGAATAGATGGGACCTTCCTTACCCTGACAAAGGGAAGCCACAAAATCTACAGTGTCAGAAGTCAGTATAGTGGTGATCTCTGGATAAAGAGCAGGTGAGGGGCTAATGTTCTATTTCTTGATTTGGTTGGCCCAGTGCGGTGACTTTGTGATAAGCTGTATATAGATGCATTGGATATTTTACAGTATGTGTATTACACCTAATTTTAAAAGGTTGTAAAATTTTTTTTTTTTAAAACCAAGGAAGAAATGTGGTTCTTTCTGATGATCTCAGAAGGGTAGAGGGTGTAACGAGGAGCTATGGGAGCTTACAAGGACAGGAAATGGAGATGTTGGAATGAGGAGGAATGGAGAAAAGAGGACATTGAATGGTTATACATGTGGATGTGGGCCCCAACCAGGATGGTGTCTCTGGAGAGGAAGCTGGTGAGCCAGGGGCCAAAGTTTTCTGTGAGTGAGAGGCAGTAATCTCACAGGAGAAGGTGTGAAAACAGGTGTATCAGCGGGAGAGATTTATTAGGGAGCACAGAATTTAATACCTAGATGCCTCTCACAGAGTGCATCCTTCTACAGTGAGAGACCACACTGTGTACCTGTTCTCCTTAGCCACTTTCACAACTGCTCTTACAGCCCGTAACAGCCTGAAAAGTAGTTACTTTTTTGTGGTTCTATTGGGGAACCCTAGACTCAGAGCGAGGAGGACCAGAGCCACAATTTAGGACAGGGCTGCGTAGAGCCCTGTCCGGATGTGCTTCCAAGACCAGTGTCCGCCGGGGCATCCAGGCCAAATCACAGTCCCTCTGTTGATCATCAGTTAAGAGGAAAATAGGGATAATATCTTAAATCGCAATTGGCAGAAGCCCTAAATGCAGTTTCACAACTTGATAAGGCAGTCAGTAGAGTTTTTTTCTTCCTCCTCAACCCCTCCACCAACATATTCATCAAGATGTGTGAGAGAGCTTCAAGCCTAGGAAACCCAGGATTGCGAAGACAGGTAGGCAACCACCGCTCCACTGAGAGGGGCTGGGTGGAGACTCGTTTCCCTGGCCAGGCTGGTACTGGCCAGCGGCATTAATTGGGAAGGCTGGATTCTCATGATGCCCTTGTCCTAGGCCAGCTGTTCCCAAGTGCGGTCCAGGGAGGACCCAAGACTCTTTCTGGAAGTTCCCAGGGCCAAATCTGCCTCCCAACAATGCCAAACCATCACTATCTCCCGGGTCTAATGCTCAGAGGCTATGGAACTCAAGATGACACGGCCACTCGAGGGCCAGTGAACGTGGTCTCCAGGGCTTTAAAATATGTTCCAACTCCTAATACTCAAATGTCCCTTATAAGCAAAAGTATTTGGGGGTGTAAATTATAATTTTAAAGAGTGTAAAGGGGTCCTAAGTAGGAGTGCTGGACTTGGAAAATTAAAAATACAGGCTGCCCAGTTAAATTTGAATTCAGATAAACAACGAACATTGCATGGGATACATTGGCGTTAGTAAGTTATTAGTTGCTTATCTGGAATTTAGATTCACTTAGGCGTCCTGTATTTTATAAGCCAATCGTAGGCCTAAAAGGCCGAAAAGCTCCTAAAGCTCCCCGCAGCTCCAGTAATTCCCGGCAAGGCACTTCCGGTCAGGGGGGGCGGCCAGTGTGCGGCCCCGCCCATNGCAGAAAAGGAAAAACCCCTCAGAAGGCCTTCCTGTGTGATACTTTGGGTAGCAGCCGGACATCTCAGGGTACCTACGTTTACACAGAGGTGTCTGCAGGGTCACGGCTACTGGACCTCTTTCCCTGTTAATAAAGTTTTCTTTGTCATAATGTCATTTTATCAAGATTATCAGGTCATTTTCAGTGGTAACGTAAGTATTCCATTGCAGGAGGTGGCATACCACACCCATTCTCTGGCTTAGGAGAGTTGAGTTTTTAAGGACTTTTGTGTTATAAACGCAACCGATGAATGGTTCTTACCTTGGCATATACTGTGACAACTCTTGCTGCCCGTTGCCCTTTTACAAGTAGTTCACACCTTTTTTGGAGTCTCTGGAGATGTTTGCCTGTGGCTCTCCCTATTTAAATTAAGCCGGTTCGTTTGATTATTACCCAGCACGAAAAGAACAGTTGCACTCTTAATTTATTTTTAAATGTTCGTTTAAAGTGCATACTCTGGGATCCTTGTAAGATGATGGTATCAGGACAGCAACCTTTCTACACTTTTTATTTCTCTTTTTTTTGTTCTTTGTTTATGTAACAGAGTAAGCAGGAAATTCACAGGAGGTCCGCTCGGCTCAGAAACACTAAATACAAATCTGCTCCAGCTGCTGAAAAGAAAGTTTCCACTAAAGGGAAAGGGAGAAGACATATTTTTAAATTAAAAAATGTAAGATGATTGTGGACAGTGTCTTGTACTGTAATTGTGGCATTGTGTGTAGTGTGACCAACCACCGCCTTCATCTCTCACCATTGAACTTGGACTCTGCTCTTGGCAGCCCTTCTGTAGCCTTCTGGGGACTGATCCAGGCTTTCAGAAAGGGAAGGAACTCTTTTAGGAGGCTTATTGTTTTATAAAGTTAACAATATCCTCTTTTCCTTGTTTTAGTCCCCCCCCCCACCCCGGGGGGGAACATAATACATGATTCTAAAAGGAACCTAAATCTTGAACACATTTTATTGGGTTCTCTGTGCAAAGGATGAGATACAGTTACAGTTCTTGGTGTGGGCATGGTATTTTTTTTTCCATAAAGCTCTAAGTAAATAATAACACTGGAATTCATTCAGTTCCATATTTGCTTGTTATATGGCCCTAGAAAAATATTTCTTACTGATTTATAATGATCAACTTGATGAATATGAATCAAAAGTTTTACTAAATCTTTATCTCTTCTTTTATAAGAAAATAGATCGTTGAAAGATTTGTGTTGAAATAACTGAAAGCTTATTTTTGGTTTTGTAAATACAAGAGACAGTGGTCAGACACAATGGGCAAAGCATTAGATACTGTTTTTTGGTTTTTTTTTTTAAACCTCAGTATGATATTCTGCTTTCAGAACAGAAATGCTTTATTCACCAGTAAAGACATTTTCTGAAGTTGGGTGTATTCATTTAAAAAACTCAGAGAGGCCTTGCATTATATTCTTGTGCAGATTGTGGATTCTTTTTCTTGAGAGTAGTTGCTTCTAATTTATTTAGGATTTTAATGAATTTGTTTTCTAAAATGTGATTATTGACTAGACAAAATATGTGAATACTTGATTATAGTTGTACACACTTAAATACCTTTTTCCTCTTAAGTGTGGTGGAATATGTTTTCTGAAAGTACTTTAATATCAATTTCTCTGGCAACCGCTTTCTTCAAGGATGATACCAAGACATATTTGGGAAGGCCTAGTTACTGTGTTGTGGCATAAAAGTGTGTATTACAGCTTAAGAAGGAATTTCGATGATGATTGAGTGGTGGCAAATTACTAGCCACTCCCAAGAAAGCTTCCTTTGGCCTTGGTTCAGATTTGTTAGAAAACTAGTTCTGATGATATTATCATAGCTATAGTTAAGTTGAAATGGAAAATGTCTTTGAGGAGACTTGTTTGTTATTTCCACCTCTGTCATGCTCAGGCCTTTAAAGCCACAGATAATTTTTTAAACTAGATTGTTATGTGCAGTAAAGCTCTGAGAAGGGTTCTGTTAGGTCTCAGCCACATAATCAGGAGCTTGTCCTTTGAGTCTCAGCAATTTTTAAGCTAAAGGTAACGGAAATAACAGCAGAAATATTCAGACCATGCTTTGCCGCAATGTTCAGAAGATTTTTTTTTTTTTAACACTGCAGTTCTTGTGACCAAACAACTTTAGTATTTCTCAGATTACAGAATTCATGTGTGGCTGGAAAAATGCCTATACACACTACACACACACACACACACACACATATACACTACACACACACACACTATGAATGTGCTAATATGTTTACTTCTGTTTTTTCATAGCCCATCAAAGCTCCTGAGTCTGTTTCCACCATAATCACTGCAGAATCAATCTTCTACAAGGTGAGCACCATAGTTATTGAAGGAAGATTTGAATCTATTGTGTGTTTTTTTTGTTTTTTAGTCACTTATCCAACTCTTTTGTGACCCCATGGACGGTAACCTGCCACGCTCCTCTGCCCATGAGATTTCCAAGGCAAGAATACTGGAGTGGTTTGCTATTTGTTCCTCTAATGGGTCTTCCCAACCCGGGACTGAACCTTCATCTCCGGCATTGCAGGTGGATTCTTTACCCCTGAGCCACCTGGAAGGCATAATGTGGTACTGAAATACTGGGTTAGTCTAAAGGTCTTTACTACTCTGTATAAGGTGTGATTATGTTTTTTGTTCCTTTCTAAGCTCTTTTTCCCCATACATGGCTATCATAAAACATCCAGAGCTGAGTTGGGAGAAGAAGTTGCCTATTGAAATATTATATGAGAATCTTAAGTATTTTTTAATGTAGATTGTGGGAATTGTTTTTACAATACAAATGTGTGGTGTGGAGCCAGGGCAACGAGCCATCCTAGTCAACCTGATGACGTTGAAGGCTAAGAAGGTAGAGGAGCAATTTGGACAAATAGAGGATGGAGACTGATAGGGAGATGGGAGCAGGCAGAGAGCTTCACACATGCCTTTAAGAAGTGAAAGGAGAAGGGCAGTAGTGGGGACTGGCTGCTCCTGGAAGTCCGTGGTCAGGGAGAGAGAGGTGACGTTGTTTTGATAAAAGCACTGTTTTTCAAGACCGTACAGAGGTGGACTCTGGCTGACACAGGAGCCTCAGCTGCAGTGCTGCCTTAGGTAGCTTTTAGCAAGTCTCTTGACTTTGTCCAGTGCAGTGGCTCTGGTGGAAAAATATAGGGATCGTACTACTGTGGTATAAAATTACGTTTATAAACAGGTGTTTTCTCCAGCTGCAAGTCATCATGTGTATGTGAACTTTTTTTCATTCAAAAATGAAACAACTTTAGGGACTTCCCTGGTGGTTCATTGGTTGAGAATCTGCCTTCCAGTGCAAGGGACTCGGGTTGATCCCTGATCGGAGAAATAAGATGCCATACACCGAGGGGCAGCTAAGCCAGTGAGCCACAATTAGAGAGCCCACGTGGTGCAGCTGCTGAGCCCACGCGCCACCACAAGGAGCCCTGTGCTGCTACAGGGGGGCCTGTGCACCACAGCTGGAGAAAGCCACAGGCCCCAGTGAAGAGTGCCCAGCAGCAGAAACCCAGCACAGCCAAAGACAGAAAGAAGAAACAGCTTTAGAACTGGCGTCAGTCACGACCGTATAAATGTCAGCGCATTAGACCATCTCAAAGACCTCTTGACCACTTGGAAAATTGTTGTTTTCATATTAAGGAAGTTTCCATTCGTACCTGTAGTGTTTTTCTGTTATTTTAAATTGGGCTTATCTTCTGTTTCTCCCAGGGAGTCTATTACCAGATTGGAGATGTTGTTTCTGTAATTGATGAACAAGATGGAAAGCCCTACTATGCTCAGATCAGAGGTTTTATCCAGGACCAGTACTGTGAGAAGAGTGCGGCGCTGACGTGGCTCATTCCCACCCTGGCTAGCCCTAGGGACCAGTTCGACCCTGCGTCCTACATCGTGGGTGAGTTAGACAGGGATGGACAGGCTCTTGAACCGGTTTATTTTCCATTATTATGTGAAAGTGTATTCATCTGCTTGGACTGCCATGACAAAATACCATAAACTGAGTGGGCTGACAACAGAAGTTTACTGTCTCACAGTTCTGGAGGCTGCAGGTCCAACGTCAAGGTGCTGTCAGGGTCGGTTTCTGGCGAGAGCTGCCTCCTGGCTTGTGGACAGCCGCTTTTCGATTGTGTCCTCACAGGAACTTTCCTCCGTGTGCGTGCACTCCTAGCATCTCTTCCTCTTCTTATAAGGTCACCAATTCTATTGGATGAGAGCCACGTCCTTACAGCTTCATTTTACCTTAATTACCTCTCTAAAGGCCCTCTCTCCAAATGTTATCACATTAGGGATTAGGGCTTCAGCATGTGAATTTGGGGGCATACAATTCAGTCCATAACAAAGAAGCATAAGTACAAAAAAGATAATTTTAGAGAAAATATGAAATTTTTTAAAGCTGGGATTTGAGGCTATCAATTATTTTGAGTTATAGGGCAGCATGCACCTACTAAAAAGCTGTGTGGATAAGATTTTTCTGGGTGACCCAGGGTTAAACTCTATTAAAATAAAGAATTTATTGCTCAAGAACAAAAGATTATTTAGGTAACATATAAAAAGTTACTCAAAAGTAATTTCTAGAGGAACTGTCATGTTTATGTCTCAACATTTTACAAATTATCAACGTATGTTCCTCTACATATCACACACGTCATCCTGGACCTTTTGTAACCTGTTATATTGGTGGTGGTGGCTGAAATGGCAGCCACTGTACTCATTGATTTCCAGGCTGACCAAAGAATTGATTCTTGACATAGATTCTCAAGAAGTTGTTGATAAATAGAATTTTGAGAGTGTTTAGAGTTTTAAAATTACCCCCAAACTTTTCAACCTTTCTGCAATGAGCATACATTACTTTTTCATTCTAAGAAAAAACACAGAAGGTATTTTTCTGAGAGAATGGAAGGACAAATAATATATCACTCAATCTCACCTGCGTGTCAAGTTTTGACACATGGCCAAGTGTTTTAGTCTTTTGCTTGTATGTACATAGAAGAGTGAGCTTTTATTTACCTGTCCCATCAGATCGGATTGTCAGCAGAGGCAGTAATGTGCCTGAACCACCTCTCGGGCTTCTCTCTCACCTCTTCTTCCTAATGTTCTGAAGGAGACCACATATCATAAAGTTTCAGAGCCCAGACTCTGGAACTAGACTGTCTGGGTTCATAGGACAGCCACTTAGAAGCTATGTGATCTCTGGCAGGTTCCTTCATCTCTCTTGCCTCTTTCCCTCATGTAAAATGGGAATAATCATGGTACCTAACTCAGAGGGTTGCCGTAAGGATTCAAAGCATTGATGTATCTGGCAAATATTTAGATCAGTATAGACATATAGTAGATATTATATAAGGCTAAATATCACTTTTAGAATCCTTTCTATATTGAGTTACATTTTTGGGAGAGTGCTATCTTCCTTAAGCAGTTAAAGCAGAAAAAAATGATAGGAAGTAATTTCAAAATAATGTATATTTTAAGGAGTAATGTCAAGTTAGCACCAGACCAGTTTCTCGTAGTGTTTAGGAATTTTAATTTTTATGAAAATGATATATATCTTCAAAAATGTAAATGGTGGCTCCCTTCCAGGACCAGAGGAGGATCTTCCAAGGAAGATGGAATACTTGGAATTTGTCTGTCATGCACCTTCTGAATATTTCAAGTCACGTTCATCACCATTTCCCACAGTTCCCACCAGACCAGAGAAGGGCTATATATGGACTCACGTTGGACCTACTCCTGCAATAACTATTAAGGAAACAGTTGCCAACCATTTATAGTTTAAAAAGTAAACCTGGATTTCCAGTTCCCTTGTATTTGTACCACTGTAAGACATGCCACATGTTTAATGAAATTCTTGGATGGAAAAATGACTAAAGTAATCACTAGGTTGTTTATTAGTAGTCACTTAGAAAATTAAAAGAGAAAAGAATTAAATATATTTTGAAATGAAGTATTACACACACATTAAGTGTGTATATCCTCCCAGGCAAATACTGTCATTTCTAGGGAGACTATTAGCAACAGGTAGTGTCTATTTTTCTCCTTAATTTATTTCTAGAAACTCATAAAATGGATTGTATTTTTCTATAAGAATAAAATATTAATTAAGATATAAATTTCTAACCAAGGGCTAAATCAAGTAAAATATAGCTGTGATCAACAATCTCTCTCACTGTATCTCTTAAAAAAGCTTTATTTTATTATCTAGAAAATAAGACTGTTGACTGCTTTATTAAGGAAAATGATTGGTGGATGATCTTTATTAGCCCAGGCATTTTAAAACTTTTATCTAATTCTTCTGTAGTAGGGAGAAATTCATAATCATTTGGTTGATTTTAATACAGCTGCTCTTCACTGCTCTGACCTGCCTTCTCAGTCAGAACGAGGCTTCATCAAAAGGTTAGGCTTACAGGGTGGACAGTCACCTTCGCTGAACACACAGGAAATATGCTCTGTAGGCACCCCAGAGCAGTAGGTTCTTGACTGCACCTAGGTCTAACATTGGACAGCCATAAAAATGATTAATAGGTCATTAGCAATGATATCTTTTAGGATTTGAAATATCTCAACTGGAATTCTATCACCTCACTAGCTTTGTTCATAGTGCTGATTTCTAAGGCCCATTTGACTTCACATTCCAGGATGTCTGGCTCTAGGTGAGTGATCACACCATCCTGATTATCTGAGTCATGAAGATCTTTTTTGTACAGCTCTTCTGTGTATTCTTGTCACCTCTTCTTAATATCTTCTGCTTTTGTAAGGTCCATACCATTTCTGTCCTTCATTGTGCCCATCTTTGCATGAAATGTTCCCTTGGTATCTCTAATTTTCTTGAAGAGATGTCTAGTTTTTCCCATTCTGTTATTATCCTCTATTTCTTTGCATTGATCACTGAGGAAGGCTTTCTTACCTCTCCTTGCTATTCTTTGGAACTCTGCATTCAAATGGGTATATCTTTCCTTTTCTCCTTTGCCTTCCCCTTCTCTTGTTTTCATAGCTATTTGTAAGGCCTCCTCAGACAACCATTATGCCTTTTTGCATTTCTTTCTCTTGGGGATGGTCTTGATCCCTGTTTCATGTACAGTGTCACGAACCTCTGTCCATAGTTCTTCAGGCACTCTAGCAGATCTAAGCCCTTGAATCTATTTGTCACTTTCACTGTATAGTCATAAGGGATTTGATTTAGGTCATACCTGAATGGTCTAGTGGTTTTCCCTACTTTCTTCAATTTAAGTCTGAATTTGGCAATAGGGAGTTCATGATCTGAGCCACAGTCAGCTCCCAGTCTTGTTTTTGCCGACTGTATAGAGCTTTTCCATCTTTGGCTGCAAAGAATATAATCAGTCTGATTTCGGTGTTGGCCATCTGGTGAT